CCCCAAAACCCCAAAACCCCATCAGTTGTAATTGAAATTAAAAAAATTGTTTTCTGGAAGGAAATTAGACATTTTATATTATGGAATAAAATACAGGAGTTTCAATCGACACCCTGTAGCTTAATAAAAAGCAATCAGTATTCAATTTTTCAAGAAAAGCGATACTAAACATTCCAGTTTTTGATGTTCCTCTTCTAGATTATGACGATATATAAAATATTGAAGACCCTGTATTGCAAGTCATAGAAGCTAACAGAGCTCATTCTAAGAATAACAATTTGCTAAGTCACTTAGGTAAGGATTACGATTAGAATCGGAATACCTCAACCAAAGCTAAAATAGTTGAAAGAACCAACAATCCTTGGCTTAAGTTGGCATCCTAGATATGCTCACCTTAGCGGAAAATTGGGGATTTTTTCACTTACTTGTAGAGGAAAATATAGTTAGAAACAAAGTTAGAAAAATACCCATTTAGAGATCTTTAGCTTAGAGAATAAATTAGAATTAACTGACTTGATGACAAATCTTCTCGCAAAAAAATTCAAAGGAAATACTAGAGCTCTAAAAATCTCAAATCAAAAGCCAATATATAGTTCAGAGAAGATGTAAATGTAAGTCTTTCTAAAGACAAGAGGATATTGAAGAAAAGGTAATCAGTTGTAGATTAGGTAATAAATACAGGCTAGGATAAATTTGCATTAAATAGCATTGCCCCTAACACTAACTAAAATATTCACGAGAACTCACGAATCCATGTGATAGATTCTAATCTTGAAATCTTGAATGATAAAAGGACGGATTAGAGTTTCAACAATATTAATTTGGAATAAGAGAGGTAGTCTTTTATTGATAGGATAAAGAAGAATGAAACGACTGTAAAACTATTTGATAAGAGAGTCTTCCAAACCAAAAAGATTGAGCCACTGAATATACATAATCAATCAAAATTAAGATTTCTTGATTAGTTTATCGCATCAAAGACACCTCAGAGCACAAATACTTAGAGTTTTAATTTTAACATTCTTCCAAATATTCGAGATGAACACTCTCAATGCCAGCAATCTTAAAACTTGAAGAATTACTCACAGATTCATAAAAATAATTCTTAAATACTTCCTATTAAGTTAAAATCTCAATGCTTCAAAATTAATTAAGACATATAAAAGTTAAACCTAATTACTCAGACTACTGACTAGCATCCTATTTATTTGCGAATGGAATAATCATAAAAGAGCTTTCTGCCATAAACATTTAATTAGAGTCGAGATTCACTTTAAAGGGAAAAAGAAAATATAATAAATTTGAAATCTCAAACAGCATCTGTTCCTTCGAGGGACGAGATGCTTAGAGATTAAACTATAAAGCAGAATATTGTAAGACTAAGAGCTGTAGGTGATCAAAATCCAAGAATAAAAACTAGAAATGTATTTAATTATCCTAATAGTAAGACAGAAGATTGCAGCGACCATCAGAGCTGGAACTTGCTTATAAATACAGAACCTGATTCTGAACTTAACGGAGACTTCTAGCATGGGCTGGAGGATCGATCTGATATCAAGAATTTTGCTTTGTTCGATCTCATCTAAAAAAGAGCTACCACAAAGTAATTTCATAATAGCTAGTCACCGAAAGCAAAGACTGCCAATTCAAACTAAATTAGAAATTAAAAATATAAATTTAATGAGATGATACAACCAAAGAGTCGAGGATCTAATTTAACAGTCACTATTTTAGACAAAAATAACTCTTAAAATAGTTACAAAGGATCATAATAAAATAAAAAGATCTTCTCCTCTCTGATTATTGTTTGAATTATTGATTATTGACTTTAGAATAGCAGAATTATAATATAAAGTTTTGAAAATATTAATTTTAATTTTATAGGAGAAAATTCATCAAGCCCTTTTAAAACATATTTCAAAAGATATAAGCATGTCTTCATACCAATGAAAGTCTTTGCAAGGAAGTAAGCAAATTTAAAAGCATGTTATAGACTATTTTTAGAAAAGACCTATTGTATTTATTGTAACTATTATTAATTAAATCAACCTCAGCTTGAACTTTAATTGAAAATTTTCAAATCAAAAGTAATAAATTGTTTTTTTTTACTTACGTAATTTGCTTTTAGTGACTTCTTGGGGTTTTGGGGTTTTGGGGTTTTGGGG